TTTTTCAATCACGCATTTTTCATAGCCTCGTTCTCGGTGAGTCAGGTACCCTAAACACTCAGACACCATTTACTCTTCACTTGCATTTGATACAGTCAAATATCCCGTTCATCCTATCCTTGCACGTGGTCACTGGTCCCTCTATGTGCACTCCAGACGTCACTCTAAACATTCAGCCTAAATCCTAGCCGACTGTTTATTACCCATCATCAGCTAGGTAGGCCCAAGTGCTCCTCTGCATTCACTCTCAAACCCTAGCATTCCTACATACCTGTTTCAAACAATGATCCGATGATCTTCTAACGATCTGAAAATATCTTCTCTGATTTAGCTCCTCAAACTTGTTCTCTGTGTTGCGTAATTGTTAGATCAGGGTGGCGTCATGTCAGATTTTTGGTGCCACGAAAATGAATGGGAACAGGAGGCTAATGCGAAGCTTCTTGAGAGAAGAGTTTTGTTTCGCTGTAACTGTCTGCACGAGAAAATTTTGAAGGAACGTTTCGAGAGGTTATGGATGCTTAATTAGGACATCATAGGCAACAGCGACGGCACAATGTTCATGAAGGATTCAGCCGTTCGACCGGACCGTCTGCGTAGCTTGATAGAGATCGAGGAACATTAGTAGACCGTGATGAATATTTGAACGGCGCTGAAAGCTTCCAAAGACATTCAGAGAACTTTCCGGATGTCTCTTCTTCTATCGTCCAGGGTGGCTGCAGAGGCATCTGGCCCCACGTGAATAGCCAAGAACGTCCGCGGATCCTTGGGCTTTTTGAACTCGGAAACTTCAGACGCCAACCGCCGTATCCTCGAGAACCCTTTACAGGAGTCGTTGCACGTTACCGGTCAACAATCTGGACAATCCGAACGATACGAGTGTCGAAACTTCGTTCAGCTGACCAGGAGTCCAACCTGACGCGTTTATTCCTCGAATTCCAAACATGTCGGAATAGAACGCAGGGCAGAGGAATGAAAAGAGTCTTCCTAAATCCTCGGAGTTCATCGCGAGATCTATAAACCTCGTGGAAAGCATAAACACAGCAGGCTGACGAATAATGGAAACGAAAGGAAAGAATGATTCGGAATGTGCACAGAATTCTGCCAAAAAGTAGAAGAAATAATCAGAGAGGGGAAGAAGAGGAGAGGCAGGAGCAAGGGAGCAAGAATGAAATGCTACGAGGAGGCTGGTGGGGCTAGACAAAAGGGACGGAGTCTATTTCCCGCGTTGAAAGTGTTCCTGTTGGAGCCGGGTAGCGGTAACGTGGAGGCACGGGGTGCAACCTATTGTCAACCCTCTGCCGGGGCTTGTAACAATGGCTCTCTGTGTCAGCGACGCTTTTCATCGCGGCGTAAACGCTATCGGTGACGCGGACACCGATCTTCGTGTTCCGCGAGATGAGGCCGAGAGAAAGACACCCCCTCCGGATACCATCTCTTCGGCTTCCTTCCCTTGCCTTCTCTCTCCTTCTCGCTCGCTCCTCCGCCGTCCTCTCTGCATCTCTATCCATCTCCGCGCTGTCGAGTGGAGCACCGGGGATGACAAATCGATGGTTGTTTCGCTGATCGGCCAGATTTGCATGCGACGGGATTGTTTAATGCGCCACCCGACGGCAGGAAAAGTGGCCTGCTCGTGGACGAATTTGTCTCGCCGTGGAGCTGCCTGCCTGGAAGCTCCTTCGTGCTGTCGCTCTCCGATAAGACGATGGGTCCTTGGGATGAATATCGAAGCAGGCAAGTCGCTGAAGAGACGCTCGGCGTACACTGATCCATCGTGCATTGTTCCCTGATATATGACACGGTTTAGCTCGTTAAAGCAAGCTCCTGGACAGAGTCGTAAGTAACGTGTGGGTGCTCCTCCCTGGACGCACGATGCACGGATTTATAAGCATCCTGGGACAATTTATCTCCTATTAACGCCTGCCTTGACATTTGCACAGGCACCAGCACACAGCCACGAGTCGCTGGTGCACGCCCCAAATCGCTGTTTCCCGTTGGACGGTCGACAAACAATTTTTGAAGCGGCCTCGATTCGCTGCAGGAACAATTCCTCGTTGTAAATCAAGCGGAACACGCTCGCGTGCCAACTCGTCCTTCGCGATGCTCGTCGGTTATTAAAGCGGCGCTTAAGCCGTCAGGATGTGCATACGCGGCGATAAGGCGAGGCCTTAGCCCAGTTCACCCGCAGGAAACGGATACCATCGCGTGGGTGGACGATGGTACGCGATAAAGACATCGCGGGGTCGAGACCCGCGCCAATTTCCAACGCTCTCTAGTCTGCGAGTGCCACGCGCCCCCGATTCACTCACCCTCCGCAAATGTCAACGGGAAGACAGAAAATTGGACAGGGGAGAACGGGTGTGCGACGTGGGAAGAAATGACAGAGGGATCTTTAAAAACACCTGATCAAAGATGCCTCTGCACTTCCTGCGGTATGACACTTCGCACCCAGCAGCGTAGGACGTTGGTATATGCAACGGGACCGAGGAACGCGCAGGAATTCGAGCGGTGGCTTAGCAGCCTGTGCAGAGCACGCGTTACTCGTTCGTCGAATTTTTCTTCCGTTGGAGAATCGCGCTATTCCAGGTCAGCGAGTTCGACGTCGCGACGCTCGTGGCACGATACCGGCTGATTAAATTACACAAAAGTCCCTTTGACAGCGACTAGCCGATCGAGCCGGCCATCGGCCTAGGCCGACCGCGCGGAAGGACGACAAACTTCGTTTCCGTTCTCCTGAATCTGTTTCACGGCCCAGCTGAGAGAGCCGCGGGATGAGAGGAGCGAGAGAGCAAAGAGCAAAGTTCGCGAGAGAGAAGGAGGAGGATGGAGGACTGGAAGAGTAGGGACCGGAGGATGGAAAAGTTGGGCTAGGCGGGAAAGAAATGGGTGGTCGGAGGCAAGAATGGGAGAAGTGGAAGATAAGAGGCGAGGAAAAAGTAGATTGATGAGCGGGGAGGAAGCAGGAAGAAAGTTGCGAAATGGTCGAATTAGAGTGAGCAAGTTTGGCGTAAAAAGAGCGGAGGGAGTTGGAAGGCTCGAACAGTCGTGGAAGAAGAATGGGAAAGTGGCGGATGGCGATTAAGGAATGAATGTAATTTTCATCTGATTGTAAATTGTATCGAGTTTAGTGGCTGGCGGGCCGGGTTGCCAGAATTTTAATAGCTTCCTCGTCGAAACGTGAAATACTCCAGTCGCTGATTTAAGGGATGGACCACGTATTTCTTTAAGCATCGCGGGATGATTCGAACGTCGTTTGTAAATTCTACTTAGACACAGTAAACGATCAATTTCTCCAGGCATGGAAGATTTAATGTCAATAAAATACGGTCTCGTGTAATCCCTATGACAGCAACTAGGCCACGTATAGTGGTTTACGCCTCTGCATCATCTCAGAAGCGATCCAAAGTCTCTCTAGACGAAGTGTTCCTCCGTCAAACTTCATCATACTGAATTAAAAGAGCTCCCAACTGCCAGGTGGCAAGATTTGACATAAAACAGGAAGAAATGAAGTGACAGGGAGCCAAAGGGATCCGGTAGAGGATCACCGTGCAAGACACATGATCCAACGAAGAACACGACACCATGGATGGTGAAAAAATGAAAAGAGATAATGGCGAACCAGCGCAAAAATAGATAAAGCGTTAATGAGGGAATACAGGAAAGAGGATCCACAAGGATTCTAGGTCAGCGCGTCGGGAAGCGTGGCAGAAATTCGTAAGGGCAAACAAGAAATTCCAGGGAGCTGTTCGTGCGAATCGTCGATTAATTCGACGAATGGGTGCGTTACGAAACGCGATCGATCCGCAAAGCAGAGTAGAAAGATCATTTATCTCTCCATTTTTGTTCCCCTTCTTGACACGCGGCGGGCGCTTTGATGTTGCGCGCTCTTTTGCGCCGCTTGCGCCGACATTTACGATTCCTTCTGATTTCTCATGCGAGCTTAACCCGTCCCTGGAGTAATCATGGTCTCACGAATGGGTAGATTTAATCCGATATTTCACGGCTACCGCGTCGCCCGTGGACAAAAATCGCGGTGCCTCGCGTCGATTAAATCACAAGCAGACGCCGAGCACCGTTCCGAAACGCAGTCGCCTGGAAATTCTTCGTCCAACCATTCCCTGTGTGTTTTACGTTATTCGCCGGCTCTGAAGTATAAGCCAGTCCACTTCACTTTTATCGTTCGTGGTTATACCATACAGACAATAGCGCAGGGCGTGGAAACGGATAAACGAGAGCGCGAATGCATGGGGAAAGAAAAGGAAGATTATAGAAGACGCGGGATTAAATAATTTCTCGATCATCGTTTACAATGATAGAAACATCGGTAGACTGTGTTACTAGAGAATTTGCCTAATTAGAAATTTTTGAGTTCGATGAAAACACGTGTGCGATTTCGTGAACGCGATATCGGATCTTTGCTTGCCAAGTCGGTGTCAACACGATTCCTACAGATCAGAAATGCTGATAGGGAAAGGATAGGGAATAGTCACCATGTCTCTGTCTTAGATATCCATCGTGGTTTTTCCAATTTTTGGTCGCTGTTCCGCTTGCAACGTTATTCGTTATTGACACTTTGACTGCCACGCACTTTTCATATGGTATGTCCAGGAGGCCACGATAAAATTTCCATTATTTTTACGATATAATGATGAATTGTAAACAATATGGCTAAAAGGAATATAAATTAAGGAAATTAGTATTGCCGGAGACTGGTGACCACCATGGTTCCACTTAGGAAGCAAGTACCTGTCACTGATGACCACCATGGCAATCAACGCGTTAACCACTTGTGCTGGCAAGAAATTCAGAAACTTGTGCCAGAACGGTCCAATGTTCCTGTGACAATTGCCTGACGACGTGTATACCACGTCGTTGTCGATTCTGCGACAAAAGCATTACGACGTGCGTGGCACGTCTTTGCAGCGCAAGTGGTTATACACGTGTAACGTTGTACGATAAACATCCATCGACACGATCGTCTCGTTGTTAATACTTCCGCGATGTTTGAAATAAAAAGACAGGGGTCCAAAGGAAGGTACCGGTGGTTTATTGACACTCGCTTGGACAATTGCGCGCGACTTTTCAGGGAGAACGACGGAAATTACCGAGGGGTCGGTGTCCCGTGAAAAATCGAGCTCCTCATCCGAAGCCACGGTCGAATTTCGAGCTCGCTCAACGTCTCGAATAAAGAGCGGGGGAAAAGAAAATAGGAGGAAACGAAACGGAGAAGTCCGCTCGTTCTATCCTCCGTCCGATCCATTTTCCACTTACTTGACTGTCACGGAAATGCATCGAGCACCCTTAAGTATCGATTCACCCGCGACGCCGTTGCCTTTGAAGCATTTGCATCGGGTCTGTGCCAAGGAACACGCGTGAACACGGTTAGAGGATCTAGAATCGACGATCCGCGTCGTCCACGCCCCTGCCAACCGAATTCCCACCCTTGCTCCTCCAACGACTCTGAATAACGATCCCGACACTCGCCTGTCACTCCTTCAACCATACCATCATCCTCCCTGACCCGATCGTCTCGTCGATCCCGGTGTTATTCGCGAAATCTTTGATTGGTTTGACGAAAAGTCGAGGAACATCCGCGAACAGAGTCCACTTTGACAGCGTACAGCTCTCTGACGTTGGATTTCGCGATCAGGTGTCAACAGAAGGCAGGCTAGGCAACCTGTCCCGTTCGTTGGTCCAGAAGCTGGGACTTGGATCAATAGACGAACGTGTAGTCCAGACATTTGGCCCAAAATCGGTCCATAGTGTGGTATAGGTGAGGAAAGACTCCGGACAGAGCGTGTGCCTCATCGGTGTAGCTCTGCTCCTCGAACAGGATGTCCTTGTCTACTAAAGCCTTGTTCAGGGCCATGGACTGTTGGTAGTGGACGTTGTCGTCACCTGTACCGTGTATCAGCATGAACTTCTTGCCACGGATACCCTCCACCCTCCTGTTCACGTCTGAGCGATTGTAGCCCTGCAGGTTGTCCTCGGGGGTAGGCAACCCCATGAACCGTTCGGTATATAGAGAATCTGCGATGAAAGGATATTTTCTAGCTTTCCTGATAGTGTCCAGTATCACGATGATGCATATATCTTTCGAATAATTAAATTCTTTTTGGGGGAAAGAGATTGACATCTGTAGGAAAATAGGTATATACCGTGGGGAGCTGAAAGTTTCACCTGTACTTCGATTATTGGTCAGAAGGATTGCAAATATTACATGTAGAGTCTCTATAGTGGAGCATGTACAGACAGAGATAGGTGTTCCAAGAATTATCGGTATTTTAACACTTTGACTACCACGTACCTCAGGAGACCACGATAAAATTTCCATTATTCTTAGAATATAATAATAAACTCTCAAACAATATGGCAACAGAGAAAATGGTGCAAATTATTAATGCCTTCAATGAAAGAAATATAAATTTAAAAAATTAGTATCGCCTGACACTGATCACCATAGCCCCACTGAGGAGACAAGCGCCGGTAACTGATCACCACCGTGGCAGTCAACGTGTTAATTGATCTTAGAGATCGTGGACTTGTTAGCTCTTCACCTTCTTACTTATCTTCGTTAAAGTCAGGTCAAAACTGGTCCAAGAAATTTTGAATGGACAATGGATCGATGGACGCGAGTCATCTGAATGGATGACTCAGCGTCTACCGAGGCAGAAATGCATCCACCATGGAGGTGCTACTCTGTACATGTACTTCATTCAACGAGACGAGTCAGCATCTGCCTTTATTCGTCGACTGTGCATATTGACGTTCGATCTGCTTCATCATTTGGTCGTTTTTCCTTACCTAACTTGTCTCGTTGAACGATCTATACCCGGATAGTGTCAAGTATCCTATAATATATCAACCCTATATATCGAGTGACGTAGTACAACGGCGCAAGACGTCTTTTCAGCTCCTCACAGCGCATACCGTTCGACGTTCTATATAGCCGCGTAATGTGTTCCGGTCTTAGGTGTCTTTTAATTCACCACCAAGCACGAAATTACCATAATAAATCCACGAGGTCACAGGTGCGACTGATACCCCGCACTTGAACACCGATTCCTTGTCAGTAGCCAGCACCATGGCAGTGGAGAAGCCTCCGTAGCTCCATCCCCATATCGCGGTCCTGTTCTGATCGATCCAGGGGAACTTCTGCTGCAGCATCCTAAAAATCGCACGCACGATCGCTACTGGAACCTCATCGATCGCTATATTTCGTTTCATGCATAAAATATCACCGATTCTACGAGCATGAGACTAGGACCAAGTGCTCCTAGGAAGATAGAGAAGAATCTACCGCTATTTCCAAAAGACTCGGAACGTTTCCTTCTCAGAGTGCATAAATTCCGGTAAAAGCTGAGCGTACCTAGTGACAGTGATCTGGTCCTCGATCTCCACTGTGCCTAGTCGCCGATAGATCTCGAACAGCATCTTGCTGCCCTTGAAAGCCGATCCTCGACCATCGATGCGACCATAGATTACCCGCTTGTTGGTCACCATGTAGGATTCGAAACCGAACGTTGCTTCCTCAGTGATCCTGACAGTGTTGGGTCCTGCGTAACTGGAAAATGAAAGATTGCGTGTACATAGAGGATGATTCGATCAGCCATAGTCCCAGTGAACGAACAGACAGTGAACACTCTCCGATTGGAAATGGAGATCACGATTCTTCCTTGCGTGTCAGATCAATCATACTTAACGGCTCCTAGCGAGCACGAGTTCCAGGATTAAGGAGCCACTTGGTTCCGCGGATTTTTCTCCGGCCAGACCGAGGATAATCGAAAAATCGAACTGCGACTCGAACGTGACTGAGGATAGGTACGAAAAGATCCTAGTCTCCCAGGAGTGTGCACGTTTGTTCACCGCGTGTTCGAGATATTGTATCCCGCCTGTTGTTGCTGCTGTTACCGAGGAAATTGCATTTGGCACAGTTCGGATTTGTAGAGTCATATTTTCAGCTTACTCTTTATGTCGTTGTCTCTCGGTCAATATTACAGACACCTTGTGGTGCTCATGACTGACGAGCGTAAGGAATATTCTCGTGGAAGGTACTTACACGTTGATTAACAGAGGGTACGACTTGTTCTCGTCAAAGTCTGGCGGCAGATAGAGTTTCACTTTGTTACTGTAACCATTAGCATCCACGTAGAAGTTTTTGACAAGAGGTTGCGATCGCGTGGCCAATTTTTGTCTCAGCGATTGATTCTCCTCCCAAGTGAGCAGTAGCTGGTGATTGGAGTTCATGATCGTGATGAACAGTGGGTCTGGACCGGAGCAGGACAGCGCGTAGTTGGAGCTCTCAGTGGAGAAGTAGGCGTAGGCATAGGTGCAATTGTTCCCTGTGAAACGATGGGTATGTGTCAAGGAATTGTGTACATAGTTCGATCCACTGCTCCATGAAACCCACCCTCAGGAGTTAAGACGTAGCAAGACAAGCAAACAGGCGCCTCGCTGCCATCCAATTGCACCGAGTACAAATTCCTGTGCGAGGGTTTGTCGAGCTGGTTGCCTAAGTAATAAAGCCTTTCCGTGGCATGGTCCACGGCCAAGATGATGATGACCTCGTTGGCTCCCGGCGTCAGGTCCGTCTCGTCGATCAGCCTTCCGTTCTTATACTCGAACCTAGTCGCGTGCTGGAACCGTCCAGCTGCCGTTCCAGATTCTTGAAGCTTCGTGATGATCACGTATCGATCGTGATAGACGGGTGGCTGGATACGCAGCCAGCCCTCGGTTTCCTCTTCGTAGAAGATATTTTTGGCGTTGCCATTCGTGTCGTACAGCATTATCTGCGCTTTGTTCTGCACCCGGTTCATCCAGGTGACAACGACCTGGTCCTCGTTCCGCCAGTTCACGGTGTACAGAACGTTGTCTCTGTCAAAGAGGGAGATATTGACAGCGGTTTGAAGGTTTCCGAAATTTGCAGGAAGAAAGGAAGGTTCGTTGACGAACGTGGCTGATGAATTTACGAATATTACGATTATCGTCGCTGAGCGTTATGTAAACAGTCGTACCGAGCTCCTGTAATTGCAATATTTGTCGACGGAGCTCGTCAATCATCGGTCGCGATAAGATATTCTTGACAGAGGGAAATGAAGTCATGCGAATTTTCTGATAAACGCGTTGTTTACTTAACCCTGTGTAAGCATGACAAGCAACTCGGTGTCAATTCTCGCGAGATACTCACACGCCGACGATATCGCTTGGCGACTTAAGATCGACTAATTTGAGCGAGGGATTGTCCAAGTCGATCACGCTGACCGATACTTCTGGGTTTGGACTGCCTGCCTGAAACACGAAAATTTATTTTGTTCAAAGATAACTTTACACATTGTCGCTTTTGTCTTAAGGCGTCTCCGACGTTTGGAATCGATATGAGCAGTTGAGGGTTGTAAGGGGCCAAGCGTTTATTCCTTTTTGACACTCGGTGGGTCAATCAGGTGTCATTCTTCCCCGCGATTGGACGAAGCCGATCGAATTTTATTTTTTACCATGGTTCTAGATATAGGACTATGATTGTATCTCTATAATTGTATTATATCCCCTATTTTTCCTATTATTAATTAAAAATTACTCTCTTACTGAATACGCGTGCACTGTGCTTTTCTACCTAGAATCTGCAACATAATCGCATGGTGATTCTTCTAAAATTCTTTAGCACGTGGAATTCCTCTGAAAATCGAGATCGTTTATCGCACGAAGCAAAGACGAGCAGTCTTTCACGATCGTGTCGATACAACTACGAGAATTGCGGCGCCACTAGAAAAACTGAGGGTTAAACGCGGGAACGACCGCGAGGTAACCCTTTTCATCCCGTTTTAAAGCCGGCAACCAGAGATGGCCTGAGCTTCTTAATCTGGTCCTTTAACGACCGCAGTGCTCGTTGCCGGACAAACTGGCTGAAGCAAGGGAACGATTAACCGATTCGATCGATCTTTCTTACGCTGCACTTCCGTTTCCAGAAATGGCGGTGCGCAGAATTTATAACGTAAAATTCGGAAAAACGGGGAAACGGGCTAAGAAGATTAATTACCTTCGGGTACTTGATCTTCATTTCCTTCGGATACTGATCCTTCATGTTTCCTGGTTCACCGTACATCGGTATCACCATTTCCTTCACGCTGGTATCGTTGAACGTTGCGAAAGCAAGATGGCGGCCGTCGGGCGAGAACCAGAGAGCCGAAGCCGACGCTAACACTTCCTCTGGAAACGATAATTCTAGTTAATACTCGGATTATCGTCGATCATTCTCTTAATGGAGTGAGTAGCTTGACTGATTAATATTTCTCTGCTGGATCAACGCGATGGTTAGCATGATCGATGACAATGAGATCGGTGATCGGTATTATCAGTTTTGTCAATCTTTTCGATTACCTTCGTACACCCAATCAGGTACTCCGTTATAAACGGCGTCGAGCACGCCGGTGTTCGTTATTCGAATAATACTGCCTCCCTCGGAGAACACTTGGTAATAGATATCGTTCTCGTGAACATAAATCAAAGCGTTCCTCGTGGGCGACCACTTGTACAGGGGTATGCGCTCGCCATTTGCGATTTTCATGTACGTTCTACGTGAATGGAAGAAAACGAGGATAAAACGAATGAAAGAAATCCTGCAAACAACTTGTACGATGCGAGATCGCGTTAGAACGTTAAGTCGGGTTAAGCGGCAGATAATAAACGCGATAAAATTCCACGGAATGGATCAGCGATGTTTCCACTCGTATCGATCCTTCGCGCGTATATTTCCAGGCGTAAAACAACAGCATGGAACGTGAATTTTATCATTATTACCTCGGACGTGCTGCATCGTTTCGTAATTTGATTTATCACGGAGTCGTTAAAGCCGTCGGTGGAACGAAGCAGATAACTCACCTGGTTTTAGTGTTGTACACGACGTTGTATTAAGATAGTACTTGTTCGGACTAGATAGCTTTGACTTTCGTGTCATACACTGCTATATGGTGGATTTTTACGCGCTATATTGCTCTACTATACTCTGCTGGACTCCGGGGAGTCCAGTAATATTGGTCGCGGCACGTTATGTTGAGTTAGGTTACGTTCGGTTATGTCAGGCTATGTTAGGATAGGAGAAGGTAGATTTGCCTTTTGTGCCAAACACTGTTGTTCGGTGGGTTTCAACCTTAATTATAACATTTCGCTTCGTCCAAATGGCTACTCACGTTTGCGAAGTCGTAGCTGATCATGACGAGAGAGTTGTCGTAGGAGAAGCTGATGGCAGGCTTGTTGTAGTCGGCCTGAAATCACGCGAACATCGAATCGCGCATCGAACTTGCACACGGAACCGTGTATACCCGATATCGAATAGGAACCGTGAAAATTAGCGATGATCGAGGAGAATTCGGCGAGAAGGATCGAGCAACGATTCGTCTGGCGTTTTATCGGCGTCGCGTTCACCGGAAATCGATGGTGCAGCAGGTATTCGAGATTCGGTGCAATATCAAGGCGTGTCGGGCTAGCAGGATGGAACGAATGCTCGAGTGATTTGAAATATCGATATTATTGATTTCGTGCCAGGTTATCGGACACGTTACAACGCGATAAATCTCAGATTGTCCGCGAAAATCGGTAGCGTTAATTCATCGGTACTCGGCGGAGTTCTAACGTCGTGGCTCGATCTTCCTCTGGGAATTTATTTCTTTTCCCAAGCTGAGCGATACGGTGCACCGGGTATTCGACGAGGAAACGTTTCAGACACGTCCGTTTCGCGGACGGCGAATCGTTTAAAGAGCTTTCCTCGCGGAAGGCCGCTAAACAGGTCGCAAACGATTCGGGAGAAAATTGAACGGAGAAACGTGAAACAGCGTGTCTGTTGAATCAACGACGCCCGATGTTGATTCACGCCCGAAAGTGGACACTGCAATTCACCGGTTAAGAAGCTGCACCGCGGTGGAGAATTTCCGTGCGATTAATTAAACGTGGCCGTGTTATTTGTACGCTGTCCCCGATCGGGAAAGAGAGCCAGCGGTGCACCAATTTGTTCTTGAAATTGAAACGTAATTTCTCCAAAGCCCCGCCGGACAGGGCAAACGAAAGTTCCGAATTACTTAAATAATTAAAGCACTGGCCGGGTGTCGGGGAAATCCGGAAGCGCGCCGCGCCATCTTGAAATATTTAAATACAATTGACAGCTCGCGAAATATTTTTCATTTATCTATTACTGTATCTCAGCCCATCGTTCGATATTTATATATTTATATAAAATATAACGAAATAAGGAATAGGTTACTATCGATGTCCTCGTTAGGCTAACAGTCTGTCGAAACTCTGCTCTTTTCGAATTTTTGACATCTCGAGAGATACGTTTCCAACTTCCGGAAGGTTCCTAATACCCAGCAAGTTCTTTCCAAATGAAATTCGAGATATCTCGTCGGAGAGAGCTCGTATAGGAAAGATTGGGAGGATCATACCGTCACGGATGAATCCATGAGGACTGTGCTGACTCCTTTCACCACGTCGAACAGGCGAATATCGCCGACATAGTTATCGAAATAAAGGATCTTCGTGTCCGTTCTCCAGGTGCCGTTGAAATTGTTCGCTCTGAAGCTCTGATCGTAGGTCTCCTCTAGCCCGAACGGGACTCTGATGTTACTCTGAACGTCCTCCTCCGAGGACTCGTATCTGTGCACGTCCTTGTCGATCACCCGTGAAGCTGTCACGAAAAGACCATCATTCAGCATTTTCGTAGAACCGTGAGTGGAGGAGGAGAGTGGACGAGGCGAAGGAAGCAAGGACGAAGAGGGCAATCCCGGTTTGACATGCCAACAGGACATCTGGGTATCCTCGTTCCGGGATCGAAAGAATTGGGCAAGATAGGCAGACTGATTAATCGCTAGTTTATAATTAATCGAGCCACATGTGGGTCATCGGAGCCGTGACTCAGTGTATCGTGATCCACATGTGTGTTTTAGTTACTCGGATTTAGGTGTTGGTCAGCTGGTATCGAGGACGGTTATGACAGCGATAGAATTTGCGTGACAGGAGGAAGAGATGATACGCAATGTAATTAATAATTAACATAATTAATAAGTACCTTTCACTGAAAGGCTATAGACCATAGAATTCACGCGAGTGATCCTGGGTCACTCTTTAACAGTGAAAGACTGTCAATACACTGTCAATTTGTTATCACTGACGTGTAATCTAACGTTATAAAATATACCTTCCCGCAACCCGATGTTCTTTTACCACATACTTGAACCTTTCTCGTTTCTGACACGAATAGCGAGGTCAGTGTAGAGAAAAATGGCAGCGAATTGAACTGCCAGAGGCACGAGATGGCAAACAGTGGACTGTTATCTGACTCGAGATAAGCGTCGTTATCCATCTAGATCGGCGGTGCCGTGGTACGGCAGGCCGTGAAGATGGTGTTATCAAGGCTGAGAAACTGGCGGGAAGAGAGCAGGCTACAATTAAACTTATCTCCAGGCAAATAACGCAAATCGCTGAAGAGCATTAGCCCGGTTCCCGTCGATCTCGAGGCATCCGGCTGTATCCCGAGACGTCCGGTCCCTAAGCGGCTCAACGGAAGCGCGATTATCTGCCGGGGACAAAGAAGCGGAAGACTTACTGGATTTTCCAGCAACATGGGCGACCAGGGATCCCTGCAGCACCAGCAGCAGCTGTACCAGTACCTGGAAAAGATTTCGTTCCCGTTGAAAGAGACTGCCGTGGAGAAAATGGTGGAGAGACGGGCGGAATGGAAGACGGAGGAATAGGAGGAATCCTGGAATTCCACCCTCTTCGCTCCGCTCGTTTCTGCCCGCGACACCTCGTCAAGACGCGCACAGGCACGAGCAGACGCAAAGGACCCGTTGAAGGGCGCAGAAAGGAAGCGGAAGAGGAAGAGGAAGAGGCAGGGAAGGCGTCGAAGGCGTTCGTTCGTTCGACTGGCGGCGGAACACGTGCGCCGCATAAAAGTTTCGTCAAGGCGCGTCAATTCCCTAAGCCGGCCTAGCTGACGGCGAAATCCGCGATTCGTCGTCGCGAAATTGCAGGGCGACGACTGGACTCGTTAAACCGAGAAGTAACCGCCTGTCAGATCGACTTCTCGATGGACCTTCGAGGAAACTCGTGACAGAGGGCGTGACCGTGGTGTCAAGAGATCTAGAGGAATCACTGAATTGACATGGACCTAGAATTAACCTAACTGATGCGTTATATAGGTAGTATATGGGTTATATAGTTCTGGTAGGTTATATAGACTGATCATTGACAGAGACTAGAGTATGAGACTGATCTACAAATTTCTCGATGGACCTTCAGAGTACTTACAGATCACGCATGTGGTGTCAAGAGTGAGAGGAATCATCGACCATCGAGTTAACATAGATCTATTAACCTACGTTCATCTACTCCAAGGTCTATTAAGCTATGTAGCCTGGTCAGTGACAAAAATATAACGAAATAAGGAATAGGTTACTATCGATGTCCTCGTTAGGCTAACAGTCTGTCGAAACTCTGCTCTTTTCGAATTTTTGACATCTCGAGAGATACGTTTCCAACTTCCGGAAGGTTCCTAATACCCAGCAAGTTCTTTCCAAATGAAATTCGAGATATCTCGTCGGAGAGAGCTCGTATAGGAAAGATTGGGAGGATCATACCGTCACGGATGAATCCATGAGGACTGTGCTGACTCCTTTCACCACGTCGAACAGGCGAATATCGCCGACATAGTTATCGAAATAAAGGATCTTCGTGTCCGTTCTCCAGGTGCCGTTGAAATTGTTCGCTCTGAAGCTCTGATCGTAGGTCTCCTCTAACCCGAACGGGACTCTGATGTTACTCTGAACGTCCTCCTCCGAGGACTCGTATCTGTGCACGTCCTTGTCGATCACCCGTGAAGCTGTCACGAAAAGACCATCATTCAGCATTTTCGTAGAACCGTGAGTGGAGGAGGAGAGTGGACGAGGCGAAGGAAGCAAGGACGAAGAGGGCAATCCCGGTTTGACATGCCAACAGGACATCTGGGTATCCTCGTTCCGGGATCGAAAGAATTGGGCAAGATAGGCAGACTGATTAATCGCTAGTTTATAATTAATCGAGCCACATGTGGGTCATCGGAGCCGTGACTCAGTGTATCGTGATCCACATGTGTGTTTTAGTTACTCGGATTTAGGTGTTGGTCAGCTGGTATCGAGGACGGTTATGACAGCGATAGAATTTGCGTGACAGGAGGAAGAGATGATACGCAATGTAATTAATAATTAACATAATTAATAAGTACCTTTCACTGAAAGGCTATAGACCATAGAATTCACGCGAGTGATCCTGGGTCACTCTTTAACAGTGAAAGACTGTCAATACACTGTCAATTTGTTATCACTGACGTGTAATCTAACGTTATAAAATATACCTTCCCGCAACCCGATGTTCTTTTACCACATACTTGAACCTTTCTCGTTTCTGACACGAATAGCGAGGTCAGTGTAGAGAAAAATGGCAGCGAATTGAACTGCCAGAGGCACGAGATGGCAAACAGTGGACTGTTATCTGACTCGAGATAAGCGTCGTTATCCATCTAGATCGGCGGTGCCGTGGTACGGCAGGCCGTGAAGATGGTGTTATCAAGGCTGAGAAACTGGCGGGAAGAGAGCAGGCTACAATTAAACTTATCTCCAGGCAAATAACGCAAATCGCTGAAGAGCATTAGCCCGGTTCCCGTCGATCTCGAGGCATCCGGCTGTATCCCGAGACGTCCGGTCCCTAAGCGGCTCAACGGAAGCGCGATTATCTGCCGGGGACAAAGAAGCGGAAGACTTACTGGATTTTCCAGCAACATGGGCGACCAGGGATCCCTGCAGCACCAGCAGCAGCTGTACCAGTACCTGGAAAAGATTTCGTTCCCGTTGAAAGAGACTGCCGTGGAGAAAATGGTGGAGAGACGGGCGGAATGGAAGACGGAGGAATAGGAGGAATCCTGGAATTCCACCCTCTTCGCTCCGCTCGTTTCTGCCCGCGACACCTCGTCAAGACGCGCACAGGCACGAGCAGACGCAAAGGACCCGTTGGAGGGCGCAGAAAGGAAGCGGAAGAGGAAGAGGAAGAGGCAGGGAAGGCGTCGAAGGCGTTCGTTCGTTCGACTGGCGGCGGAACACGTGCGCCGCATAAAAGTTTCGTCAAGGCGCGTCAATTCCCTAAGCCGGCCTAGCTGACGGCGAAATCCGCGATTCGTCGTCGCGAAATTGCAGGGCGACGACTGGACTCGTTAAACCGAGAAGTAACCGCCTGTCAGATCGACTTCTCGATGGACCTTCGAGGAAACTCGTGACAGAGGGCGTGACCGTGGTGTCAAGAGATCTAGAGGAATCACTGAATTGACATGGACCTAGAATTAACCTAACTGATGCGTTATATAGGTAGTATATGGGTTATATAGTTCTGGTAGGTTATATAGACTGATCATTGACAGAGACTAGAGTATGAGACTGATCTACAAATTTCTCGATGGACCTTCAGAGTACTTACAGATCACGCATGTGGTGTCAAGAGTGAGAGGAATCATCGACCATCGAGTTAACATAGATCTATTAACCTACGTTCATCTACTCCAAGGTCTATTAAGCTATGTAGCCTGGTCAGTGACAGAGTTTAGCTCGTGAGACTTGGAAAATGGGTCTCGGAACGTAGGAAAATCGGTGAATCGAAGGTTATACACTAGGTGAGAAAAGAGATGAACAGGAAGGAGTGTACGAAGGAATGTTTACGCGTGAAATCTTTTAGCTGACCTCGGAATAGGATAGCGTTGAAAGAACCGAGTGGTCAGCAGAGGTGTCCCGTTAGCGGAATTCCTGTTTAGTAGATCTCGCGGAGCCGACTTAGGGACGTTTACTTACTATGGTCGGCATCTAAGCCAGGGAAATTGGTTCGAGGCGTAATTTTCTGTAAAATTCTGTAAAAATTAACGATCGAATTTCCAAGTAGCAAAGGTCGAGCAGTAAAATGTCGAAAGTATAGAATTTGGGTAAAATTACATTTTTTACAGAGCCGAGGAGCTGCTGGTCGAGGTTCTCGGTTCCTGTCCGGGATTTACGACGCAGCTAATAAAAGTTAGCTTCGAATCGTGAAGACACTGAAAATTTTAAAACATTTATCGGGATTATTGCGGCCACTGAAAGCCAAAAGAGACGATAAAGGCGAGCGGTTTCCTCTTTCGAGTGAAAACAACTAAAAAGCAGAATGGAAATGTTATTCGCGCGAATAGAACCAGGATCTTCGAGAGTTTCACTCGGTTAATGAAGCCTCGCTACTGGAGTCGGACTACATCGTCTGAAATTATAAAGCAACGTTTCTCCTGCGTCCTCGAATCGTTTGTTTATTTAACAGACGGAAAACTCTGCATTTCACGAGAAAGCTTTCCCCGGCGTTTCACGCGAAGCACGAGAATATTGACAGCGCGATGAATCGATATTACAATAAATGGCACGATATCGTACGAAACTCGAAACATCGAATCACCGATCTAACCAGCGAAGTTAACCTCCTCGTTTCGAGCATGATTATTGCAACAAACCGAGAACATGTTGCTGGAAAAACTTTTGACGATTCTCCCGAGTTGACAACGTCCGAGAAAAAGCAGAACGACTCGTCCTCCATCAAACGTGTTTTCGAATCAGCTGGTCCCCTCACACTTGCATGGTATTTTCGCGTCCCAAGGCCCATTCGCTGTTCTCGCGGGACGACACATCGTCGTCGATAAAGCTAGTCACGCGAAGCTCCTCCAGCAAGAAATCGAAAGGGAAATCGGCGAATCGATAACGATCCTCGTGAAGAAAACAAGATTCGACTATCTTCGCGCCATTTCGATCTCCACTCGATCGCTCTAACCGTGACACGCGGTTTGTCACGAGATCGTTGGTTTCGAGATACCGATTATCTCTGGTTTGACACAAATTAGGCAAACAGCTCGTCGAAAACGGACCCCGATACTCCTAGCCAAATCGATCCAATTACTCCGACCTAACGAAGAATAATAGCCAATCACTCGTCCTTGCACGACAGGTTATCAGCATCCACGCACGTAAATAAAGAAGATTACGTAATGAGACGGATTATCCGTGTCACGAGACCCAGAGTGCCACTTTGGAAACGGAGATCGCGCGACGATACCACACCCGTGACCTTGGTCCCGATCGAAAAACCTCGATCACTCGTCCAGGACCACGATGTCAGCGAGACAGAGGGTGAAACGAGGCTTCCTCGCCTCGAGGATGACCTACCCCGTTGCAGAGCATAGCGATCACGTGGCAGCGTTGACGATTCCCTTGTCGTTGGTCACTTTCGCTGGTGATCGAGAGATCGACGCTGCTCGATGGATGTCACGGGTGCGTCGAACACAGACTGATCCATCACGTACTTGCCGACGTGCCGGAGCCGTCCACCACTCCCACCTACGACGATCACACGGGACATACCCGGCTATCTTTTCCTCCTTTCTAGCCTCGCTAATTGTCCGGCTATCTCGCCGATCGACCGATAAGGAAACCTTCTCCAGTCTGCGAACCGTGAATACCCGATCGGATTCCTCCGTGAATACCCAATGGGATCGAGCACGGGTGATGAGGAATATCAGGTCTCGAGGCTGCTGGATCAGGAGCAGGTCAGGTGAGGAAGGTCTGGGATCCAAAGACCGTGGATCGGTGGGAATTTTAGGTCATGGGAATTTTATACTGCGAGATTAGCTATGTTTGTGCAAGGATTCGGCTTAAACAAGTATGCAAAGCCTTTTGTAAGTACTGGTTGAAAATTATATTTTGGCATGGGAAATTAATTTTTATAAATTTTATTAGTATGCTGTCTCTTTGTCATCTTCAAATGTAGATATTATATTTAAAAAAGAATGGGAGTGATTAGTTATTATGGGTTGCTATTTTTATATTAGTTAATTTTTGTAAATTTTATTAGTATGCTGTCTCTTTGTCATCTTCAAATGTAGATATTATATTTAAAAAAGAATGGGAGTGATTAGTTATTATGGGTTGCTATTTTTATATTAGTTAATTTTTGTAAATTTTATTAGTATGCTGTCTCTTTGTCATCTTCAAATGTAGATATTATATTTAAAAAAGAATGGGAGTGATTAGTTATTATGGGTTGCTGTTTTTATATTAGTTAATTTTTATAAATTTTCTTAGTGTGTTGTCTGTTTGTCATCCTCGATTGTAGATATTATATTTAAAAAAAAATAGGAGTGATTAATTATTCTGAGTTGTTATTTTTATACTTGGTAACCAAGTAAATAGTATATTTTTCTCGTTTTTATTGGTATTTTTTGATGGGACTGTTTGGCTAGCCAATTTTAAGCCAATTTAAAAATTTAAGGTTATCTTTCTATTGTTTGTGTAAAATATCGTTATCAAATTAGGTTGATGGCCATGAGTATTATATATATATGTTACGTTTTCTGTTTAGAATGAACTGTGTTAAATATTTACGGTATATAATAGCGCATAAAATATTGCATACTTGAAAGGGTTGTTCAGTGAGTTGTATTATACAACACATAACCTTCTTCGGTGACAATACATTTTTCAAAAAGAAATATCGCACGTCAATGAACATTTATTCGCGATATCGCGCATTGTATCTTCCAATGCCTTCGTAATTATTCGAACGATACCGATTTTCCTTCCCACTCGGTCTCCGTTGCAAGAGCTAAACAAGGTTGCCGCCATTGTTGCTGCACACTTTATTAGAACAATGAGCACTATTTTGCGCATTGGTCGCCATTCCGCGTATCTCGGATCTAAATTATTCAGGCAGCGTCCATCGTGACTTTCCGAGTCGCTGGAATAACCATGAGCCCCGGTGTATACTCCAGAATCCCTCAAGAAGTCGAGCCACATTCGTTCCATTCGAATTTGAATTCCAATTTCGACCTCGCTCTCCCACCGTTGATTTATCACGCCGATATCGTCCTATCGTCTTATCTCTCCCTTATCTCGCCGATTCTCGACTTCGTCGCAACGACATCCGCATTTGTGCTTAGTCACTAGCAAAAGACCAGTGATCCCGTTATCGATGCCAAGAGAGGCATCGAATCGACGACGAGAGAAATTCAAAATCCGCGGATAAATTCGTAATCCGTCGGATAACGTCGTGGATATCGCGAGGGATGCATCCAACCCTGGTAGAGGTCGAGAAAAAATTGGAAACGAGGCAAGATCGGGGTGGATTAGCGTGGAGTGGAGCCTGATGGACCTATTCGCTGTCAGGAAGCACCGCGGTTCCTTCCGTCGTCGGCCGTCACTAATAATCCTGATCCACGGGTCACGTTGTCGATAACTCGCAAAGCTTCGCGAGATTCCCCTGTAAATCACGGTTATCTGAAAGCTCGGCTGCTCGATCGTCGAGGTTCGCGACAAGGACGCGCGAACAACAGGCGAATAATAGGGGAATGATGGGGCTGGCTGAAGATACCGATAAAATTGCACGCGGTTGAAATTATTTCGGGAACCAGTCACATGCTTCGCGTAATCGTAGCTCCGCGATGAGTCTTCTGGTAAACGGTGTTAATAAGCTGAATGACCAACGGGGAGCTGAGCGCTCAGATTTCTGTCAATCAATGTGAAATTCCTTCGCAATTGTAATATTTACCGTGAAGATATTTTGGTACATGGTCTCATTATCGTTCCGCGTTTAATTTATACAATTTATTTAAATTTATTTCATATTTCAAGGAAGGAAGTTCGGTACAAAGATGTGTCATAGATGCTCACAATCAGTGGATGTTTCGCGTAAATATTCTCAGTGTCCTCCTGCAGGAGGTCCTTGGGATGCTTCTCGTAGGACCTGCAGAGCAGACTGTTAATGTACAGTTCACCTGGTATCGTCTCGATTAACCTCATCTCGTATCTATCCCTCAGTCGCGTGATTTCTGCTGCTACTATAAACACGATACGAGTAGCGACCATTGCGTCAGCTTTCTCGTAACCTCGGCGTGGATCTCCGCGAGAAATCCAAGCTCGTTTGCGTCACGGAATTTCCAAAATCTCGTCGAGAGAGTGGTGTTCGAAGATCACTGACACTGCCACTGATACCAGAGGAAGCGATACTCCGAGCTCGAGTTCCGCATACTTGGCGCCAATTAGCAATGCTGTTTACGAGACGGATAACGAACGCGGGTATCTACGAAACGAGAGATAGTGGTCTATCGGCGCGTAGGTGGTCCCGAGGACGCGTCCGTGACGCGAACGATAACTCGTTAGGTCAATGCCACGCGAGGCAACCTTTGTGGAGCAAAGTCGACGAGTAGACTGCGGACTGCTTGGCCCACTGCTGGGTCCACTGTTAGGTGGAACCGCGAGGTCCCTGTCGCATCTTTCGTTTGACACGACGCGTGACGTGACTCGGAAGAGTGCCGGAAACAAGCCGCTTATATCGTCGGCCTCGACGAACCCAATCAGCCAATCTTCGCTGAATGCCCATTGTTCCGGTATTTCGAGGGGGGCCGTGATAAGATGGGGGTATTCCTAATATGGATCATCCCAATTCCCTCGAGAACAAACAATTGGGTCGTCGATTGTACTTTAAATTTTTCCCCCGATTTTCTCTGCGAGAGTGGAAAGAATAAGGGATTCTTGGGTCCAATTTCTGGTAAATCAATGGAGGGTTAGGTTAAATATACGCATAAAGGTACTTGCACGAGATTGCAAGTGAATTTGCGATGATTGAGATAAGCGGAGAGCTTTTGTTTACTCGTGTACGCTCGGCCTCCGTTGGAATTGAAACTACTGACGCCATTTTGGCTCGTGGACCTGTTTTTCAGGGACGTCCTTGAATGGGGAAATCCATTTTCGATTCGTTGTAACTTTCGCGAGGTTGATTAAAGAAAATGGCAGTGCGTTGCGAGCCCTGTAACCTTGCGGACGAGTAAAGTGCTCGGAATGTCGTAACGCGGGAGATAATGCGACAAATATGAGCAGCTATAGCTGCAACACGTAATTCGTATTAACGTGATGTAATAAGACCTCGTTTTTCGAGCCACTAGCGTCACCCCTCGTTGATAACGAAGGACGTGATTGCACGACAAAGTTAAAGCGCCTGCGAGTATGCAACTGCAATATCAGCGGCGCTCCGAGTGTCCGCTGACTCCGCTAGATGGCCGAGCGTAGAATTTACTAGAAACCGTAAAAAGTTACCATCGATCGAATTTACGATTTATTCGAAGTTTGATAAACGATTTTTACCGCGTAAATTTCCATCTGGATGAAATATTCGTGCATCGATAAAATTATTTAACGCGATAACGAGTGATTTATCCGTACAAAACTTAATTCTTCCAATTGCTCGTTAATACAGTTCCAAATGCATCCTACGAGATGGCACTACTATCCCAGCGACGGAACAGCACCACTGATCGATACGAAATTTAAATACGATTCAGCTCAGCTTCACGAAATACGATAAATCGCGATAAAACCACAATTTGGGTACCAACTATATCACATACTCCTACTTTATCCAATATTTCTCTCGAGACTAAACAGTTAAACAGATATTCAATTCCCTATTTAATATCCTCGCAAATCTGGCTCAAAAAAGAGAAAGAAAAATACAGAAAGAATTTGAATACACGATTTCAATAAACCCTAGTCTTGCACAATATTTTTCCCTCATTTCTGAGTTTATCCATCCTCCCCAAGATGTCCATCCTCAAGGCGGTTCTCGGTTTCGTGACACCGTAATTCGGAATATTTCTACCCTTTCGTGGGCGCGTTTACTATCGATCGATTCGAACGCACGCGGCTCTCGTTGCCACGAGTCGCGAAATCGTCTAGGTAAAGCGCGCGAGAGAGAGAGAGAGAGAGAGAGAGGGTGCAAAAAGCTACCCCCCTCGCGACCAAGCTATAAGTACCGGACACGAACCGAGCGCGGGCTTATAGGTCCCGTTGCGGTCTTCCCCGTTCGTTCTGCTCGACGCCGTGATCTGGCGGGCCGTCGACGGTGATCTATGAATAGATCCCGAGATCTCCGTCTGCCATTTTGATCTCGCGTCGAACGGAGATCGATTGACGCCGGCACGTGGAAGCTTCGAGAGGGGCAGAGACAGAGAGCATGACAAGGTCGCCGGTCGATCGTCGATTCAGGCAACCGGAAGTCCAACCCTGCCAGTGGAACACTCGGGGCTGGGATCCATGCTGATCGTGATGCCGATTGGCGTCACCTGAGACGACGTTGACCCACCGTCTGCCACGATGAAGAACAGCAAGTCGTTGATGGATATCGAGGACATCTGCGGATGCTCGAAACTACCCTCGATCATCCCGAAGAAGGAACTGCCGCACCTGAGGTCCACTTCCGGTGAGTTGCAAGCTCAAGCTAGAACAGGTTATAGATTGCTCTGCCCTGGACTTGCGAGAGCGCTTTATCGACTGCCCTGCCAACCTCGGCGTTTACTCATCCAGGTTATAGTCGCCAAGTTAGTCTCGCTGTTATAGCAATTTTTTCAAAATTCGAATTTAAATCCGAGTTAAACTTTGACACTTTCTAGCTTTTCTGTCTATTTTCTGAAGGATTTTCTGGATCTTCTAGTTTACTAGCTCTCCTCAAACTTCTCGATAGGCTGCAGCTACTTCGAAGCGAACTTTCTGTTCTCTACGAGTTTCTTTTATCATTCTACGATGATTTTTCTCTCCTTTTGATACGAGATGGCTGTGATCCTGTTAAATTTAACCTGATTTTCACCGAAGCACCATCGATGCTGTCTAGCGTTCCAGATTTCACACGTCGCGGTTCGGACACATGTCACAGCACGAATCTTAGGATTCCTTTACCACGACGGTATAATTCTGAAATAAATTTGCATTTTTAGGCCACGTATTTTGCCCGCTTCGTCTCGCAACAGATCGAAATAACGTGCAGTTTAATTATTGCTTCGCTACGATTTCCGACGACTTCGAGGATCTCGCATATCTTTAAAGCATAGTAGCTATAGCGTCATGGGAAAATTATAACTAACAGGCGATCGATATTAAACAACGTGCTCAGACGATCGATAGAGCTCACAACTCTTTGGGGCACAGAATTTTACAGCGACGAGAAAGCTCAGTTGCGTGGAATATTTTTCATTCAGAGGAAAAGAACGAATTCTTTTTCAATTTTTATTTTTCCGTGCTTCGAGGATTTATCGGAGATTGCTATGCACCTGACATAGCAAACACCGGTCGCAACATCGTGTCATGACGAATTCAAAATTCCCTCGTGTTTTACTTATCTTTATTTTTTCTCGAATAGTTCTCCAAGTAAGCTTGCTATCTTCGTCGTAGGAATTTCTGTGCTTGTGTAGAATTTTATATTTGACCTTCCTTTCGTGTACGATTTTAGAATTCCTCTCGAGTCCCTCGATAAGGAGTTGATCGGAGATCTCGATACGAGATTCTACTCCGGATTCGCGATTTCGCCATTCCCTGCTCACTCTTAGATTCGAAACGGCGAGGTCGTTGAAGGAAGAGTGTTTTTAAAGATCGATTTAATGTCCCTAGAGCACGCGTATATCCCTGGCCTGAAATGAAATAAACGTCAATAGAATCGTGATCCAAGCGATCGATGTACCACGTCGAACATGTGTAGACTATAAAACGGTTTAATCGACCCTCGATTAACGCGCATAAATATACTCGAAATAACCGATACTCCACCTGAAAGAAAAATACGGTAATAATAAAAAACTATAATCACTCATAAATCTAAAAACTTGAATACTCGAGATATATACACAGAGAATCGTTTATTTCTGTTTCCACTTACCATAATAATTTTTACGTACACTTTTACGTAAATTATCGGACAGCTTTGGATTTAATTCCTGAAGTGTTTCGATCAATTTCGAAAGCGTGGGTCCGTATGCTTGATTATTTTGTTGGTAGGCACACCCGCTACAAAATCGAAATAAATTATGACGAAACGATAAACTCTTTTAATCGCCTTTCTTTTTAATAAGAATTTATATTTTTATCGTTCGGGGATTCGATAATATTAATTTCCGAATTTAAAATTGCATTAATTCCGAAATTAAAGATATATTTATGTCGGATAATCTAGCATAAAATGACGAGTATGCTAGCCAAAGTCTGCGAAATTTGAATTTCGATTCTGCCAATTCTTTTGTTAAAAAATTTGACCAGAAAAGATCCTAGTAAATTATATTCTGGTCATGAAAACGATCAAAGGGGTTCAGAAATAACGTAGACGAGAGAAAAGCATAAAGAATGGCGATAAATCGTGGAAAGAAAGAGAGAAGAAGGCGTCACGGATTTACTGACGGTCGAAATCCGACGTCTTCGTGTTCTTTTTCTCCTTTGTTCGCGAGACCAGCCTCCCTCCACCATGGACCAGCTGGTTTGTTTCTGGACCCTTCGTCAGAAGCTCCGGATTCTCGCTGGCAGTTGTTAGTCGGTGGTGCTTACGTTTCCACGTGCATCTCTCTCTTTCTCTCCTACTCTCTCCGACTGTCTGGAAAAATAAGAATAGCTCTCCTCTCCCTTTGATCCGCTGACGCCACGAAACGAGATCACTCGCAAACGTCAGTTTGGATCGTCCTCCTACCAAGGCAGCACGCGTCCCCGTCCAAATCCACATGGACCACGAGTTTTCTCAAAGTCTCTCATCGCCTCCTTCAGCAGATCCATCATCCGGGTCATCGATCAGCACGGGAGCTTGACTTCCTCGCTGTGTTCCAGCAGCGAGGCTGTGAAACTCGATCCACGAATGACGTGATACGGTGAATGAGATTGGCCAGGTGAAGCTTAAGCGAGATCGTAAATCCTGCTTATGCTCTTTCAAATTTCCTCCGGCTGCTAGCAGCTACGCCAAGACGGACAGATTGGAACGCTCGTGATGCAATAGCTGAACGTACGCGAGACGTGTATACGAAACTAATCATTGGTGGAATTCCAGAACCGAGCCTGACGATCTAATCGTGGCTGGCAGCGAATCTTGGTGGGACATTAAGGTGAAAAATCCTCTGTAATCCTCGATTCCAGATGTTCACGATTCTTCCCAGTCTCGTTCATTTTGCAAGTAACTGTCAATCTCAATACACTGTCAATGTCCCATCAGGGATCAAACGGAATAACACTTCGTGAGGAATTCTTCGAGTGTATGTACGAAAAGAGGCTCGAGATCACAAGTCGGATATCGTAGACGCTTACTCGTGACAAAGGTACAAGCACTTTCTTCTCAGAAGGTCTCAGGGAGACGAGGAATCCTCTACAATCCCGAATCGCAGACATCCACTTAGACTTAAACCGTTCTATCGAGGATCAAACGGAATAAAACTTCACTAGGAACTGTCCAAGTGCACGAAGAGAAGCTCGGAGATATCGTCAGCTATCGTAGACCTACACTCGTGACAGAAGTCAAAGCACTTTCTGCTCAGAAGGTCCCAAGAATCTTCGCTGACACCCACTCAGACTAGAATCTATCGAGAATGGAACTGAGCAGAACCTCACAAGAAACTGTCTAGATACACGAGGAGAAGCTGGGAACCATCAGTCAGATATCGTAGACCTACACTCGTGACAGAAGTCAAAGCACTTTCTGCTCAGAAGGTCCCAAGAATCTTCGCTGACACCCACTCGGACTGGAATCGTTCTATCGATGATGGAACTGAGCGGAACCTCGTGAGAAACTGTCTAGATACACGAAGAGAAGCTGGGAGCCAGCAGTGAGATATCTAAGACCTATACTCGTGACAGAGGACAGAAGCACTTTCTCCAATGTGGTCATGATGCCCTTAAAAAGCGGCGCGGATTTCCTGGTGCTCGAGGGGAGCAGAGTGGCACGAGCGGTCGCTTAGCTTCGTTGTGTCCCATCGCCTCCACGGGGTGTCGCCTTCAGTCCCCTGAGCGGGCAGGGGCCCCGGGCAGGTGTAACACGGCGTTTCCATTCACTGTGACGTGGTGCCGTGGAACGGACCCGCGCGCACGCTTCTACGTCTTCGAAGAAAATCCGCTTGTTTGCCGCGCCTTGGCAAACACTGGCTCGGACTACCGCGAGGAACTCGGCTTCCCGAAGGATCAGCGTCTGTGTCGGGACACGTGTCGGGCCGGGAAGTAATCGCTGATAACTATAACTTCTGTCGTGTACCTAGGACCAGTGGATAGACTGCTTGTTTTCTGTGGCTCGAGGCAACGGACAGTTACGGGAACGTGTGCTCTTGTGACGTCTGATTCGACAGACATGTCATGCTGACGAGGACGTAGGATAGGAACGGGAAAGTGAACATGTGATGCGAATCTATATCGAAGTTCGCTATATCGGAGTCAATAGTGGAGAATACTTGGGATCGTCGTGGTACAGGAAGGAGAGTCAAAATGGTTTTCTTCGGGAGAAAGGAAAAGATAGAGGACAGGCGCCTGCTGGCCAGCATCGACGCTGTGAATGGCGCCAAACTGTTTCACATGGAAAATGGTAAAAGACGCGAATCTAATCGAAAACTGAGCTAAGTTCTTATTCGCTTGAAAGCATTCGTGTTAAAGAGAAATATTTGAAAACCCGACTGAGCTGGTCGAAGAAATTCGCCTGGTCGTATCTAAATATTATTCCATCGCGTTTACGCGTGTATTTCGTTCCCTGGTTCCCTCCATTTTCTCATATCTTGCCAAGGAAATCGATCTGAAACGTTTCCTACCCCGACATCGAGGCGAAATCATCTTAAAGAGAAGAATTTCCTACCGGTATACGTATTTATTTGACATGATCTAGCATGAAAATTGCGTGCACGGCCCCCGATAGCTTTTAGCGTCGAACACGTTTCGTATCGACTGTAGGAACAGGCAGACTGGTTTAAGAACTTTTTCCCTGGGCTCTAAACCAGACGGGAAATAGGTCGAGGCGCTCTGGAAAGACGATACGCGATCGCCATAACGCGGCTCTATGCACTCGTGGTTCGATAGCTTCGTGTAGCTACACGCATTTATCATGCATCCGTGCCATCGTCGACATCACTTATCGACGAGTATTCGAGTGGTCACCATTCCACTCGGCCACTCGAGCCAGAAGAACGCTTCCTCTTCGATAATTAAACGTCGTAAATCACGAATGCTCAACTGGCTTGACAGGCTCCGTTTTTCTAACAAATCCGCCTGGTTAATGAGATCCGCTGTTGAAAATCGCTGGATGGAGTAAGGTCGAACGTGAGCAAAAAGGTAGAGCGAGATCTGCCGCACTAATTAGTCCTGCCACTTGTGAACGGATCCAATGTTAATTGACACCGGGTGGAAGCTATTGTTAGCGAGCAGGATGATTCTTTGGTCCTTGAGCTTGGCCCAGATTGCCTTGGAACGCGACTCTTAACCCGGTGTTACTCGCTCCAGATCGACCACCGTTGACATCGCGTGGCTCGAAAATTGGCATAAGCAATCCTCGCGGTCTAATTAATTAGTCCGGCCAGCCTGCGGGAATGGGCCTGTCGTTAACTGTATCACGAACAATTTGTATTTCATTCTAAGTCCGATGCACTCTGGTATTTATGAAGGATTCAATGGGATCGTGACGTAAAATTACGTTGCTAACATAGGAAACAATTACACTCGAGTTCACATGCAGTCGGGAACTCCAACTAGCTATGTCAAATATTATTTTACCGCTATTCCCGTTCCCAGATGATCAAAACCATCAGACGTGTAAATTAATTCCTGGCTACCCTCGCTGTTCCTGTTCCTCGTAATTATTTTCCTTATGATAATTTCGAATAAGCCTGATCTATATATTCCGAATAAATTAGATAAACAATCGAGATTACTGCAAGAAATTAATCCAGAATTCCCTTAAAAATGGCACCGAATTAACCTTTGCTGAGCGACGTGATGGACTCTGATATGTTTGGATTGCCTGCCAAAGGATTACGTAAATTCCTACGAGGCTTGAATTATTTATTTCTCTATTCCATATGAGCGAATAAATTCCTAGACTATTAATCACCAGGAAAGTATATACCTTATTAAAAGAACTTGATAAATAAACGATAACAGCAACGCGAGTATTCCAAAGACATGTCAAAATTGTCACATCTACGTGACGTGACGCGAAGGTTAATTTACACTCGTGAACAGCAACTCGGGATTCAAAAATGCAGCGCAGAGCGCAGACTCGCGCACGGCTTCCCGCTTTCCCGTTTTTCCACCAAAATGTCTCGTGTTCTGGCTCCAGCCACCTGTGGCTGGTCCCAATATTGATCCACCGAATGGCCACACCCGGCGTCCCCTCGCGCCGCTCTTTTACACCCTCGTCGACGCTCGTGCCGGTAGTGTCGTTGGCCTTCGCGCACGTCCAAGTAGCACAGTGTTATGGAAAAGTGCCTGGTCACTGTTCCAGCCGCCTTCATGCACGTACGCGACAACCTGGAGGAGCTGGGCAAGGTGGCCGACGACACGGACCTGCTGTTCCTCAAGGGCCTCCTGGACAGCCCTGTGGTCACGTCTCTGGTGAAGGTGAGTGAACATTTCCAAACCGGTGTACTTTTCTTCCTGCGTTACATCATCGGCCATCCATCTTGCGTTCGTCTGCGTCGCAAGTACAGTTTCATCTCCCAGGGTAACCTCCTTGAACGTTCGTTTCGTTTCAACCCTGTCGAGAGAGCTAGGTTAGCGAGGAAGTTGACAGGAGTTAGGCTACTACGTGACAGGCGGACATTTTCCCTGGCTAGGGGATTAATCCTTGACACGAGTCGTAGCTTCGGGAAGAGTCCAGAGCGATTTTTGCTCAGGATGCCTCGGTGTTGGTGAATTTCGAGGGATATTTCGCATCGCGGGACTTTCGAATGTGGACTGGTGATTATCGGTGGCCCGGGAGTAGGAGCTTCTTGGCCTTTGTCGAGGTCGATTAATTGCCATTATTCGCGCGTGTGTATTATTTTTGGCACCGGCGAAATAAACAATAGCGTGCGTCGTTGGATCATGCGCGGTGAGGGCAGATGGCTGGAGACGCGTGCCACGTGTTTACTACGGCTACTGGCTTTTACGAGAGAGGAGTCGCTCATTTACGAGCTAGATCACCGCGAAATCCCGATCCAACGACGTGAAACGGATAGGTTAAGGCGGCCAGCTGTAAATCCCTAGACGCGGATCGGTAAAAATCACTAGGTGTCGTTGAACCCGCTGCTTTCACGCTAGAGACTCGACTGGGACCTTTCAAAAATATGGGAGACACTGAATATTGCCATTTTGTCTATTATCGATCGATCGACAATACCTGTTTAACTTCTCTGAAGATTGATCCTTAATTTTTCGAGACTTTCATTCATTTATCCCACTTATTACCAAAAATGTGTCATTTTCTCATTTATCAATGTCTCCATGCTTCATTAGCTCTTTTATCTTCCTAATTAAAATTGGAAAAATGATTTTTTACCGCCATTTTTATGCTCGTTTTGAGCTTCCGGTGTATAAGACGCGATACGTTTGCTCGCTGCAATTTTTTGGTACTTAACCACGCCTCGTTGAGCGTGTCATTGTTCGTTTTCATTTGTACAGTTTCGTTTGTTGCTGGCGATTAAAATCGTAGAAAATGGCTACCCTTTCACTCGACTATTTCCCTCAACTTTTGGTTTCAGCCTCCTCTTCCATTACGGTGTACACATATTCTTGCATCACGGAAGAGAACTGTCAGCGAACAGAACACTTTCCTTCGCTGGGCTCTATTCTTCCAAATGCTACTCACTCTCACGAGCATCGGCCCAGTCGTATGGCAAGAATTTTGCCTTATTCTCTATTGTTCGTGTTTCCATTGTTGTTCGCAGCGATCAACAACGTTTCCTTCGCGTGTTACGTACACGATGCTAAAATAAACTTTATCACGCATGAACTGTAGACAAATCACCTAAAAATCTGATCATTGGTACCACAAAATCGGTCAAAATCACCAAACTGTCAAAATCTTGGACCTGCTATTATGTTTTCATTGTACCACTTCGATTATTATTATTATTATTTATGTATACCACATTTAGGTATATATCAGATAATTCTAGTGTCTAATCCATCTACTAGATCTACCACCTATGGTATATATAAGATAGACTACTCTATCTAGTGTCAATCTGTCCATTCTCCCTCCCAGTCTCACCCCTGTATTCGTCATCAAGTAACACAGGCCCAAATCACATAGCCCATCCACTACTGACCCAAGTGCGTTGAAAAATACGACTGGCCTTTCAAAATCACCATACTGTCAAAATCTTGAGTCTGCTGTCTTCCATTAAGACATTTAATTATGTTTTCATTGTACCACTTCGATTATTATTATTATTTATGTATACCACATTCAGGTATATATCAGATAATTCTAATGTCCAATCCATCTACTAGATCTACCACCTATGGTATATATAAGATAGACTACTCTATCTAGTGTCAATCTGTCCATTCTCCCTCCCAGTCTCACCCCTGTATTCGTCATCAAGTAACACAGGCCCAAATCACATAGCCCATCCACTACTGACTCAAGTGCGTTGAGAAATACGACTGGCCTTTCAAAATCACCATACTGTCAAAATCTTGAGTCTGCTGTCTTCCATTAAGACATTTAATTATGTTTTCATTGTACCACTTCGATTATTATTATTATTTATGTATACCACATTCAGGTATATATCAGATAATTCTAGTGTCTAATCTATCTATTAGATCTTCTAGATATGATATAGATTAGAAAGACTATTCTATCCAGTGCCAACCTATCCATTCTCCCTCCCAGTCTCACCCCTGTATTCGTCATCAAGTAACACAGGCCCAAACCACATAGCCCATCCACTACTGACTCAAGTGCGTTGAGAAATACGACTGGAAAAATCTGATCATTGGTACCACAAAATCGGTCAAAATCACCAAACTGTCAAAATCTTGGACCTGCTATTATGTTTTCATTGTACCACTTCGATTATTATTATTATTATTTATGTATACCACATTTAGGTATATATCAGATAATTCTAGTGTCTAATCCATCTACTAGATCTACCACCTATGGTATATATAGAAATCTGATCATTGGTACCACAAAATCGGTCAAAATCATCAAACTGTCAAAATCTTGGACCTGCTATTATGTTTTCATTGTACCACTTCGGTTATTAGACTACTCTATCTAGTGTCAATCTATCCATTCTCCTTCCCAGTCTCACCCCTGTATTCGTCATCAAGTAACACAGGCCCAAACCACATAGCCCATCCACTACTGACCCAAGTGCGTTGAAAAATACGACTGGCCTTTCAAAATCACCATACTGTCAAAATCTTGAGTCTGCTGTCTTCCATTAAGACATTTAATTATGTTTTCATTGTACCACTTCGATTATTATTACTATTTATGTATACCACATTCAGGTATATATCAGATAATTCTAGTGTCTAATCCATCTACTAGATCTACCACCTATGGTATATATAAGATAGACTACTCTATCTAGTGTCAATCTGTCCATTCTCCCTCCCAGTCTCACCCCTGTATTCGTCATCAAGTAACACAGGCCCAAATCACATAGCCCATCCACTACTGACCCAAGTGCGTTGAAAAATACGACTGGCCTTTCAAAATCACCATACTGTCAAAATCTTGAGTCTGCTGTCTTCCATTAAGACATTTAATTATGTTTTCATTGTACCACTTCGATTATTATTATTATTTATGTATACCACATTCAGGTATATATCAGATAATTCTA